CCCTCTCTCCCTCCCTCCCACTCTGTCTGAAGATAAATGGAAAAGTATCCTCGGATGAGGATTAAAAAATAAAAATAAGAACCGTGTTGCACTAAGTATTACTTCACAAACATACACTGGCTATATTTTAGGGTTTGATTTTTAAGAAATCTTGTCTCTTGCCCTGGCTGGTTTTGCTCAGTGGTTAGAGCATCGGCCCACGGACCAGAGAGACCTGGGTTCAGTTCCTGCTAAGGGCACATACCTCAGTTGCAGTTTGTCCCTGGCCCCAATTGGGATCGTGTAGGTGGTAGCCAGTCAATGTGTCTCTCTCACATTGATGTTTCCCTCTCTCTCTCCCTCCCACTCTATCTAAAGATAAATGCAAAAAATGTCCTCAGGTGAGGATAAAAAAAAAGAGAGAGAGAGAGAAAGATTACAGACAAATGCAAAAAAAACAATAACAAAAACAAAAACCCACAGAAGACCTGGTAGGAGAAAAATGGGGAGCATTTTCAGAACAATAAAACCCTATTATTTCATCTTTCCTAATTCTTAGCACCAAGGCAGTAATTATTTTTATTTGATTCTGTGACAGAATACATATAACTGACTTGGGTATCGAGTTGTGGCCAGAGAACTGTCTAGGGCACTTGAAACCAGGTAATAAGAAATGAGATATTAGAAACAAATTTCACCCTGCCCATCCCTCCCTTTGTCCCTCTAAAAACCAAGGCTTATCAGGGCTTCCCATCTCCAAAATTGCAAGAAAGAAAGAAACAAAAATGTGTGTGGCACATAGCTCTATAGTAATACATGATCAAAGACAGACTGTGTGTAACAAACTGTGGGCAGAATCATTTAATAGAACTTTGTACAACACTATTTATAGGTGTATTTTGAATGTTACAAAACGTAGACAAGACCTCTGCATTAGTTTCAGAATCCTTAACTATACAAGAGGGAGGCTATCTGTAAACTATAGGTCTTCACACTTAATGTAACATTGGTAGAAAATAGTCTGCTGTCCTTTCAAACAGCCAACTAACTTTAGTGAGGCTTTTAATATGTCTGTCGATTAATATATAATTGTAACTAAGTAACAAAACTGTTAATGACAATTTTCAACTTTTTTTTAATCCTCACCCGAGGACATTTTTTCCCCCAATATTTTTGTTCAGATAGAGTGGGAGGGAGGGAGAGAGAGAGAGAGAAACATAGACGTGAAAGGGACATATCGAGTGGTTGCCACCCACACGACCCAACCAGGGCTGGGGACAAACTACAACCAAGGTACATGCCCTTAGCGGAAACCGAACCCGGGTCTCTCCGGACCGCAGGCCGACACTCTAACTGCTGAGCCAAACCGGCCAGGGCTACAGTTTTCAACTTGATGTGACTAGAATTGGACACAAACTCTCAGACTCAGTGTCTTCATCTGGAAAATTAGAACAAAACCAAATAAATTCTGATCTACCTTTAGTTCTAAATATGTATGTTATCATGTCTGGTATACAGGTAAGATAGTTACTTAACTGCAATTCAAAATATTTCCAAATTATCTTTCATTTTCAAAAATAAAAATATTCCTCTAATCCAGTATTAATACAAAGTATTCATTTGTTCATTCAACTAATATTTGTTGAGCACCTAATTATGTGCCAGGCATTAAACTTGGCACTGGGAGGATACAAAAATAAATATAGATGTGGTACCTGAATTCACAAAGCTTACAGAGAAGTTGGGAAGACAAACCAAATAAACATATGCATAAGTGTAATTATCACAATTATAAAAAGTGATATGAAGAGGTTAAAACAGTACATAATGAAGAATCCAAGAGACTTGCCTTAAAAACAAATAAATGACAAATGAATTGAGAAAAACGGTACATATGGCCTACATAATGTGGAATCTGTCTAGGCAGAAATAAACATGGCATGTTTAAAAAACTGACAGAAGGCCAGTGTGACTGGACGTAAAAGTAGTTCCTTAGAAATCAAAACTTTTAATATATGAAAGGATAGCTTAGCTCCTCAAAGGCATTCTCTAAGAATTATTTTCAAGGAAGCTTCAAAGAATCATAACAGTTTCTCTCTAATGTTTTAATTAAAATGCTGTCCTATCCCTCCCTGCAAAAGACCAAACAAACACTCACTGATTCCCTTTCCCATCATTTTAGTGTTTTCAGCTGCATAATAAAGAGCACAACTTCTTACCCTGGCCAGTTTGGCTCAGTGGTTAGAATGTCGGCCCACGGACCAAAGAGTCATAGGTTCGATCCCAGTTAAGGGCATATACCTAGGTTGCAGTTCTGTCCTCAGCCCTAGTAGGGGTAAAGCAGGAGGCAACCAATGGAAGTCTGTCAGTCTCTCTCTCTCTCTTTTTCCCTCCTTCCCACTCCATCTGAAGATAAATGGAAAAATACTCTGGGGTGAGGATTAAAAAAAAAGTACAACTTCTTTTTCTTTTAATCCTTGCCCAGGGATATGTTTTTATTTCGTTTTAAAAAGAGAAGACAGGAGAGAGAGAAACACTGATGATATGAGAGAAAAACATCAATAGGTTGCCTCCAGTAAGTGCCCTGACTGGGGATTGAACCTGCAATCTAGGTATGTGTCTTGACCAGGAATTGAGCTGCAAACTTTTGGTGTATAGGATGATGCTCCAACCATCTTAGCCACCCAGCCAGGGCATAAAATCCACAACTTCTTGGTTCTACTTAGATCCCTTAGACCAAGGCAGCTATAAGAATAAAAACAAATATGATGCTATTGCCCTGGGCTGTGCCACTAACCTGCCCTATGACTGACTTGATAAATGTCACTTGGCCACTTTGGGCCTAACATCTGTGATCTGTAAAATAGGGAGAATTCCAGAATTTCTTTTAAGAGCCCTCTAACTCTAAAATTATGTTTCCACTGTAAAAATGCTTGTTTTATTCTTTAAACTGAAGAGAATTAGACCAAATATATCTGAATTCCATTGACTAAATAAGGTTTTTCTTGTCTTTAACCCCCCTTTGTATTTATATAGCATTCAAACATTGTTGCTGTTATAATAATACATTGCTGAATTTATAAAAATTTGCCCATAACTAAGGGTCTAGTAAAAACAAATTATCAAAAATAAAGTTAAATACTGTTTAAAAATATGTACTTGAAATGAGACAAGTAATACTTTAACTAAACAAGGATCCCCAAAGTCAAAAGAGTACTTAAGTCAAAATAGACTTAGAAAAGCAGGAGGAAAACAAAATGCTAAGAATTCTTAGAAAAGTAAAATTTTAGCATAGGACATTCAAGTTAGTTAATGTGCATGTCAATTTTAACTTCCAAAATAACTCATAATGGATATACTAACCCAATGCTCATTCTAGACTTGGTTTATGGTTAACAGTATTTCTGATGTTTTATCTCTTTTAAGTGGAAAATGTGTATACAGTCATAAATGTTTAAACCAGATTATCCTTCACTAGAATTCAAGTTTTAATATTCTTACTATGAATACAAAAAAGATCCATAAATTTTTTTATATTTCATAATTTTTTAGCATCTCAGAATACTCGATATAACTTTAAGAAACATCAATTAAGCACCTTATTTCATATATAATCTTTATTATCAAAATTTATTTATTTCTATTTATAGTTTTTATTTGATTTTTAGAGTGGGGAGGAAAGGCGAGAGGGAGTGGGGAGAGGGAGAGAGAGAAACAGATTTGTTGTTCCACTTATTTATGCACTCATTGGTTGATTCTTGTATGTTCCCTGACTGGGGATCAAACCCACAATCTTGATTTATCAGGACAGTGCTCTAACCAAATGAGCTACCTGGCCAGGGCAAGATTTATTTTAATGGTATTGTGTCCTATTCCTTCCAAAGAAGTAACAAATAATTAGATTTTAAATATTCATTAAACACTCACAACATTGTAAACATTTACTAGGGACTATACTAAGCTCTAAGAGCAAATGGGCAAGCAAGATCATTCCCTAAAAATACATTTCTCCAAGTAGTTCAAGGTAGAAACACTATCGACATTGTTTCTTTCCTTGCCTCCCACCAAGTCTAACTCTGAATTGTCTTCTGGATCATTCCCTCTTTATTCCCACTATCATAGCCCTACTTTAAGATTTCAATATCTTTTACTAGTAGCAGTTCCCTAGCTGGATTCCCTGCTTCAATCTAGCCCCAATTTTGGCAACCAAAATGTATTCATCATTGGCAAGCGTCCTCTGGGGGCGGGGGCGGGGGGTGGGGATGTGTGGGGGGTGTCGTCAAAAATGTCCCTTGTGAACCAGTGCATCAAGGTGATCCCTTAACAAGAATATAATTTATTTTGTAAGGCCGTGGCCACAATCTATGCCCATGTAACACAGCAAAAAACTGACCAACATAAAGCTGACACTTACAACCTTGACCTTAGGACCACCATACTTAAACTAAATAAATAAGCTGATTCTTTATAAAAGGAGCTATAATACTCTTTCTTACAACCCCTGTGAACAGATGGACTTAAAATATCCCTTTACTTCAAGTTTGAATTTGGAAAAGTTAGTACCTTCTGTCTAAGTTTAACCATACTATATACGCATTTAAGTTTCTGGATATTAGAAAATTGTGACAATTTTAAAAATACCTTTTAAAATTCAATCAAGTCTCTTCAGAAGTTGATCAAAATAAGACTATTACACAAGTAGCAAGCTACTTTGAACATATTCTCATAACTATTTCTAGAAAAAACTTTAAAAGTTGAATTCTTATGCTTAAAAAACATAAGATTAAAAACACACAACACTCTCTTTAATTTCTCATAATGGTCATGCCCCCCCCCCCCCCTCATCACTCAAAGACACAGCCAAGACAGAACAATACCTTTCAGAAGGGGAAGGGGAAGGCAACAAGCGACCTTAAAAAACCTGGTAGGTGAACCTGTAAAGGCCAGGCTGGAGTAGCACCGCAGGAGAGAGCACTCCTTCCCACACAGATGGAGTGTGGACATTCTGTCCAGGAGCTTACCTTCAGCCGTTTGATCATTTCGTCGGTGGTGATCTTGTCGGTGATCTCCTTTACCCCCGGAGGGTAAGCAATCTTCCCGTCGGCACTCCCGACGCCACACAGGGCAGTGGCAGGCTTGGGCTGCGCGGTGAAGTCCATCCTGGGGGACAACTTTTCTTTCACAGTCCTCTACCGGCCTCTATCGGTCAGAAAACAAAAGTTCAGCGGGAAAGGGGCGACTTTGTAACCTCTTTTTTCATTTCAAAAATCTCTAATCTGCAAAGGGCCCTATCTCCCGGGAGGCCGGGGACCCGCGGCAGCCGCGCCGCCCGCTCCTTCCCGGGGCTTGGACCCTGCGGCCGCCCCGCCGCCCCCGCCCACGCGGGCCTCTCCAGCCCCGGGCCCGCGGGGCTCTCCGGCACCAGCCGCTGCGGCCGCGGGAAGCCCCGCGCAGCGCCAGGAGTTTCCCATTCCGCCTTTCACAATGAAACCCACCCCCAAGTACCGAGGTCCGAAGTTTGGCGGCCTCGGGAGTCCGGCGAGGCCCCAAGGCCCCGGCTCCATCGGAAGGGATCGCTGAGTCCCCGCACGGCCGGTCCCCTTAGGGAAAGGAGACGCGAGGCCTATAGGGCTCGGCTTAGGCCGCAAAACTAGGGACCTGACCGGACCCACACGCAGCGGCGGCTCCCGGGAACGACCGCCCTTGCCAGGCCGAGCTTCGGGACCCGCGGCGTCCCCGCCACGCTCCCGCCCCTCTCCTGCCCCGCTCCCCCACTCCCGCGGGAGGGGAAAACAAGCCGCCCTCTACCTCAAACCCCACGCAAGGAAGCGGCTGACGCGGCTCCGCACTTCACATTTTGTTCCTTCAACTTCGGCTAAGGGACCCCGGCGGCTTCTGTCGCCCCCAGCCGCTGGGCGCCGTCCCGCGCCGCCAAGGCCTTACCAGCACCTCCAGGCAGCCCCGCCGGGCCTCGGTCCCGCGGCCCCCCTCACCCCCCCGACTCCCCTTCCGTCCCCTCCCTCCACCAGCCGAGGGCGGGAGCCGAGCCGCCGCCGCCTTTACCTCCTCCTCCTCATGCGGGCGGAAGGTGCATTGAGCGCCCGGGCCTCTGTCAGGTGGTTGCGCCGCCGCCCCTCGTCGGGCTGCACACAAAGCGGCTTCGTGGGTCCCGCCGCCGCCGCCGCCGCCGCCTCCCGCCCCGGAGCGGCGCTGGGGCTGGCGGTGCCGAGGAGGAGCAGCCGCCGCGGGGGGAGAACGCCGGGCGAGTGTGCGCTGGGCGGGGAGACACTGCCGCTCTCCGTCTGGCCGAGGAAGAGCAGCCTCGGAGAAAGCTCCTCAGGGACCGTGTGCGCGTGTGTCCGCCCGGGACCCCCGCGGCCCGCCCGCCCGCACCTCGCGCCGGCCGGGTCAGCCGACCCGGACCCGGACGCCCCTCGCAGCGGCGCGCGCCGGGCCGCCCGTGTCCCTGGAAGCCGACTCCTCGCGCACACGCCGGCCGGTCACGCGAGCGGTGCGAGAGCACGCGAGAGCAGGGCGCGCGCCTCGCTCCCTCCCCTTCCTCCGCCAGCCGTGCCTCCGCCTCCCTCGGGCCCTCGCTGCCGCGCGTGGGGCGGACAGCGCCGCCACCCGGTTGGCGCCAAGACCTGCCGCGCGGAACGCCTTGGGGAAGGCGCGACCCCAAGGGCGAGCGGAGGAGGATCCCCGGTGGCGGGAAGCGAACCCAGTACCCGCAGACTTACGAGAGCATGCAGGACGAACAGAGCTTTAACTTAGGCCGCGGAAAAGCGTTCGTGACTTTTGGGGGTCATCGTGAGGGACGTGGACGGAACTGGTTGAAAAATGGTTAATTACTCGGTGAAAATGAATTGATATCCTCCCTAGGGCCAGATGATCTGAAAACTGAGGAAAAGTTTTGCAACATGGCCCAACGTGGACTGCTCATTCTTGTACCTTCTCACAACCACTGGAGTTAGCCCTCTACTCTTTACATTTCTAAAATTAATATTTTGAAAGCTGTGAAATATAAGAATGGCAGGGTCGAGTAGTTCTCAAAGACTGGTCTGAAACGTAAGTTCCTGGGCTCCACTCCCAAACCGTGAAACCCAGAAATAAGTACCTTTACAAGTTAGCTAGATGGTTCCTGTGAATATGGAAGAATTCATTTTTTAAAAATGTTATAAATATATGAAAGAATACATTTTCTTTCATCCAGAGACAAATCCAGTGCAGTGGCTTTGAGCAATTTAATGTAAATAATTGAGCAAAAGAACCTGAGAAGCACATAGATGATTTCAAAAGACGGTCTTGAAAAAACAGTAATATGAAATAGCAGTCAGCTCTTGAAACTGACAACGGCCATAGTTTAAAATGATACGTGATTGTTCATTTAAATTATTCTTAGTGGATATCCATTGGCTTTTCCACATCCTTTACTTGATCCTTAAAATGTTAAAGATACTGCACTCACTGAATTGTTTTTTGAGTATTACACAAGGGTGATTCCAGTTATCCTAGAATCTGACGTGCTACAATTGCTAATTTGCTAGAACTCTGCCTGAAAGTCTGTGCTTTGTTCTTGCTCATTTAGAGTAGCGGCAGAATCCATTCAAGATAGTCTTTATCCAAACTACTAAATTGCCCCAAACCTATCTACTTTTAGGCTGTCCTCTTCATAACGTTTTGTTTATTTTTAAAAATGTCAATTAAATAACTAAAGAGTGATGCTTTTGTCAGGTTAGCTCAGCTGGTTAGAGGGTGGTGCTAATAAAGAGTGATGCTCTTCATTTTCATTCTTGCTCTAAGTAACTTACCCATTATTAAATGGAGTTGTGTATATGTCCACAGATTTTCATTTTATAAAACTTATTATTTTGTTAATATTGTTTGACTTTATGAATTCAAAAGATAGTAAGTCCCAAGGATTACAACACATAAATAAATTAAATTTGGCCCGGCCAGTGTGGATCAGTGGTTGAGCGTCAACCCATGCATCAGGAGGTTGCCAGTTTGATTCCCGGTGAGGGCACATGCCCAGTTGTGAGCCCGATCCCTAGTGGGGAGCATGCAGGAGGTGGCCAATTGATGTTCTCTCTCATTGATGTTTCTATCTCTCTCTCCCTCTCCCTCTCTCTCTAAAATCAATAAAGAAAAAAACATTTAAATTAAATTTGTATCATTCTAAAATTCAGGAATTCTGAAATTTTGGATTTTTACTTCTTTTCTTAATCATTTGTTTCCACTTACAGTAAATGAGATAGGATCATTTGTGCAACCATTATTTTAAGACGGTCTAATATTCAAGCCATTGTTGTGGGCACTGAGAAAAAAAGTGGTAGTGGGGAAGGGGACAGAAATCCCTGCCTGCCTTGGTGGAGCTTAATTTGTTTGGGGAGAGATAAACTAACTAACTAAATTGTTATGGAGGAAAATAGAGAAGGGAGGTGGATGCAAATCACATATAGCCTTTTATTTATTTTGTGTTTTTTAATTATTTTTTTTGTTAATTTTGACCCAAAGATATTTTTTTATTGGTTTTTTTTTTTTTTTTTTTTTTTTTTTTTTTTTAGAGAGAGAGCAGAAGAGAGGAGGAGGGAGGAGAGAGAAAAAAACATTGATGTGACAACAGAAACATATCGATTAGTTGCCTTCTCCACGAGCTCCAACCAGGTCCAGGATTGAACCTGCAACCCAGGTATGTGCCCTTGACCAGGAATCAAGCCTGAGACCCTCTGGTTCTGGGAAGGGGATGGAGGTGACGCTCTAACCAATAACCCACACTGGCCAAGGCACATAGCCTTTTAGGCCTTTGGCCTTTGGCTTGTACTCTGACTGAACTGGGGGCATTATTGGGGTGTTTCAAACAGAGAAGTGGCATGATATGATTTATGTTCTATGAGCTAGACAACCTTGCACAAATTACTTCATCCATCTATGCTTCTTTTTTTCTCATCTGTGAAACAGGGATAATAGTTTTTATTTCAGAGGGTCTTTATGAGGAATAAATAAGTTAACATATGTAAAGTACCTAGAATAGTAACTGGTACCTACTAAGCTTTACTATATATATAAAATGAATTTGTCTAACTGCTGGTTGAAAATAATGTATAGAAGTAGGGTAACCAAGTATAAGACAACTGCAAAAATCCCAAGAAGAGATGGTAATAGGACCAGTTAATAACAGAAGTGATGAAAAATGGCATAAGAAAAAGAGAGGAGTGACATCAAAATTACAACAAAACTACAGAACAACCATCATTCAAAACCACCTGAAATCAAGCTAAATGGAAGTCCTACAACTATGACATTAAACAAGAAGCCACATGGAGACTGGTAGGAGCTGTGGAGGCACAGACGGGCTGGTCCCACATTCACATGTGACAGATAAAATTCAGGAGGGAGCCCTGGCTGATTTGGTTCAGTGGTTGGAGTGTTGACCTGCGGGCCAGAGAGTCCCAGGTTTGGTTCCCACTAGGGGCACGTACCAAGAAAAAAAAAAAAAACTCAGGAGGGATACCTCAGCTGGGAAGTTCCTCCCTGAAGAGTAAGGGGTCCCCACCCCACACCAGTCTGCTAGCTCAGAGTTCCAGTGCTAGGAAGAGAAGTCCCCATCACTTCTGGCTGTAAAAACCAGCAGGAACTGAGGCTGAGGGAGGCTGAGGCTGTTGGAGCCCCAGACAGCAGCTCTTAAAAAGCCTGCACCGGGACTTACTCAGACTTGCTCCCTCTGAGCACCAGCATGGGGGAGGCAGCTTGAAAGACACCAAGACATACGAGGAAGAACTGAGTTGTTTGACATTGGAACAAGGGATGGAGAGGCAGTTGGTGGAGGCTGTTTATTCCTTTGGTGAGCCCTTTCCCATGAGGCTGGAAAAAGGATGCCATATCTAGGACTCCAGCAACCTGGCTCACACTGTTTGCCCCACTCTGGTGATTCCCTAAGGCCCTGCCCCTCCCAACTTTCAGGACCACCCAAGCTGTTTCCAATGGCTTTAACATAGGAATGGCCTGTCTTGGCTCCTGTTTCAGATTTTCCTAAATGCAGTAAAAAAAGCAGCATCTGGCCTCAGCAAGCCCCATACCTCTCACCAAGTGGCCCCAAGCCTGGCACTAGGAGCAGCCAGCTTTGGTTCACAACTTGGCTTTGCCTGGGCACCTCCAAGCCCAGCACAAGAAGCAGCCATTGGCAGATTGCTTTGGA